CCTCTGCTGTAAGTAAGTACTACAGCCCTTGAGGCGTGTATGTGTGCTGTCTATTCTCAGCAACCTCGAACCCCACACGGGTTTCTTCCTTGGTTTGCATTTACCTACCTTTCCACTTTGGTCGGATTCACGTAATACCCTCCCCTGAAGCACCGCTGACCACCCAGTGAGCGGTGAAACACAAGAAAAATGAGAACTTGTACTAAATGAAAGACCAACTTTACAAGCTTCAGGTGATGATAATTACCCCAATTTGAATAGTGGGTAATTTTTCAGAATACTCTCATATATATATGCATACTAGATACCCTTTCTGTGGACGTGCAAATTGGCCAATAGACTGGCTTCCAAAAGAGATGAAATGACAAAGAAAATCTTGGTTCTAAAGCTGCCGAGAGACTGGAGGATGATCCGGGACAGAAAGGGAATTACTGGAAAACAGTTACAGCTCAAAGCACTGGGACTCTAACCCTAGTTCCTGGTTAATGAGCCAGATGTGCCCAATTAAAATATATACACCCCCCCCCCCCCAACCCAGACCGTGGAGGGACCAGAATCTCAGCTCTGGAAGCCCAACACCAAAGCCAGTTCCAGGGATTTCCCAGCTAGACCACCTCCACTGACAAGTGGCACAGTGTGTTCGAATAACCTGTTCTTCTTTTTTTTTTAAAATCAAGCCATAGGTAAATGTTTGGGGCTTTGGTCAGTCTGAGGAGCATCTTGAGAAACTGGAGTCCTGAAGAATAGTCTTATTTTTCCACGGACTGACACAGATGAGCAAGGAAAACCTGCCGGCATCCCGAGGTCTTCGCCGAAGGAGGCAGAATACAGATGCTTAGTAGCTGCCTATATTCAAAATAAACTCAGTCTAAGTGCTCTCAACCTGAGAAGGTACTGATTTTCCATGAGTAATTCAGTCAAGATATAGACACAGATTATCCAATAAATTGTTATTAAGCAACCAGTAACAGTATGAGTATAGTTTTCCCAATCAGCCCGTTTACTATCACTGAGAGGTACCGCACTAGAACCCTGAGAAAATCACTTTATACCAAGGAATAGGATTCAGCATACAGTAAGCCTTCTCTGGGCTCCAAGTGGATTTAGTACTGAAACAATTTTATTTGAAGACATTTTCCCTTATAAGGTATTGCTGTGGGTTGAATTCTGTCCCCCCCCAAAGATAAGCTGAAATCCAAAACCCCAGTATCTCAGAATGTCCTTATTTGGAACTAGGGTTGCTGCAGATATAATTAGTGAAGTTGAGGTCATACTGGAGGGGGGCGGGCCCCAATCCAATATGACTAGTGTCCTTGCCAGAAGGGAAGAAAGAGACACACGGGGGGAAGCCGTGTGATGAGGGGCAGAGGCTGGAGTGAGGAGGCTGCAAGTCAAGGAGCCCCAAGGGTGGCCAGCAGGTGGTGAGAAGCAGGGACAGGAAGGAAGGGTCCTGCCCTACAGGTCTCAGGGCGGTGTGGGAGGGGGCGTGGCCCTGCTGACACCTTGCTCTCAGACTTGTAGCCTCCAGAGCTATGAAAGAACAAACATTTCTGCTGTTTTTTTTCACAGTACTCTGTGACAGTAACCCTAGAAAATTCATACAGATAGTCTATGTGACATAAAGCTCCAGAATAGTATTATAATAAGGTTCCAGAATAGAACACCACTGATGTTATTATTTTTTAAAAATTATATGGAAAAGCCTGGGCTGAAATTGTCTATTATACCTAAGAGAAAAGAAACACTTACTTTTCGAGTCAAAGAAAGTAGTATGGCATCCATGAAAATTCGAAAACCTACATGTTCACCGTGAGTCTTGATATAAACCTAAAAGGGAATCGAACACGTATTAAGTTAATGGTTTATTTTCCATCGCCCTTATTTCCATTTTGTTTATTATGTTAATCTAAAAGTACTGGCAGGTTTCATTGAGATAAAGCTTATCACAGTGATCCTCAGAATGATTTTTTTCTAAAGATTTTATTTTTAAGTAATCCCTACACCCAACATGGGGTTTGAACCCATAACCCCAAGATCAAGAGTTGCACGCTCCACCAACTCAGCCAGCCAGGCCTTCCACGGAATGGTTTTTAATAAAACACTGTAGCTACTTAGAGCTATATGGTCAGAACACACAAACAAGCAAATCAACAAGGCGAACAAGCAAACCTTAATCACAGATCGTACCTTGTTATCCTTCAGGGTATAATGACATAAGCTTTGTCTTTGTCCAAATCTTTTTGGGATTTCTTCTGCAATCTTTTCTGGATCAACAGCAGGGAAATATGCCAGATCTCTCTGAATCTGAGTAATGGTTTGTGGGCAGTTCATCTCCTGTAACCAGGCCGCGCTATCTTCCAAAGGACAGTCACAGTTTTCATGGTAAACTGGCCCTAATGACACAAAAGTAACAAAATATCACAGTAACAATTTCACTCAGCACTCAGAACACCTAAGACATACCCATCGTTTGGCTTCATAAATACTGCTGTTTTAAAATTATGTTACAAGTTACCTTTTAAAATATATGGAGATTTGGCAACATGTTGACCTTGGAATTTAACTTCTACCTTCAGATTTTTGTAGCTTGCATACATTCTGTATCTTACTATGAAGGACCCATCCTTTCGGTCTAAAACTTGGACTCCAACCCTAGTGAATTGCTCTTCTGGTGCCGAGATTTTAATTTGGAACACCTTTTCACCCGGAGAAGATGTGAACCTGTCAGGGAAGAACAGCGAGATACAGAGATGATTTCAAGGCACAAATGCACAAAGATTGTGCTCTCCAGTCTGTGAGCCTTAGTGTTTTCCTTCGTACTCTCCCCCTAACACGTTTGCTCCTTCTCTCATATGCTTACAGTACCAGAATGAATGTGATGGATCAGAGATTTAAAAAAAGGGGAGGATGACAAATGTCCACACAAACATTTCAATAGAAAATTGCAAGGGAAAAAAAAAGAAAATTGCAAGGGATTATGTAAACACTACAAATTTATATAAGCCTAGAACCCACTTATGCATTCTATACATACAAATATTCTTATCAATCTACTATTTATTTCATGCAACTGGAAATTTGCCTCTAAAGATAATGACTTTTTGAAAAATCTCTCTCAAAAAGAGCAGTGTAACAAATCATGCTCAGCACAATCACTGAGCATGATTGTGTATCAATCTACATGCTCAATTGTGTAGACTGATACACAATCTACAGGCAAAAGCCAGTAGATTGTGTATCATTTAAGTGACACTGTATAAAAGGTTTTTTTTTTTTAAGTGAGTGCTTTTGCTATGAAGATTTTGAAAATGGTATTTAATTCCCCCAATTGTTATAACCAAGTGACAAAATTGATAACTTTCCCCCCCTCTGCTTTGGAAAACTTCCTGGAAGTTTTTCTTTTTTTTTTTAAATTTCTTTTCAGCGTAACAGTATTCATTGTTTTTGCACCACACCCAGTGCTCCATGCAATCCGTGCCCTCTCTACCTGGAAGTTTTTCTTAAAATATCCAAGATTTTTTTTCCCCCCTACCAAATATACACGGTCAGCATCCACCAATAAAAAAAGACAATCATTTCAGGAGTATGTGAATTCTAAAACTAAGCTTTCAGTTATTTTAATTGCTGGAATTCAGTGGAATGAAATAATGTTCGTTACAAACACGCAGGAGATTCACACTTTGATACTTTCCCTCTCAACTGTAAAGTTTCAAATAGTGCTTCATTTTTCTTTCTGCGTTTCAAATCATGCTTATCTGCAGATGTCTCCCTGAAAACAGAGGGTAGCCCCAGAGAAAGATGAACCAACTAAGTTTTTAACAACTGGGTTTACATTCCTTACAACAGCATATGCAAAAGTAGGTGGAAATAGTACTTCCAGCAAAGGGCAGGGGCTTTGTCTCTCCAGTCCTGTGTGAGTTCCCATCAGAACAGCCAGGAGAAGAGCTAATCTGCAATTACTTCTAAAGCTACAGAGAAAAACTGATTAGGACGGGGAAAGGCTGTTACAACCACATGTGGATAGCATCCAAATATCCTGGAATTTAAACTGCTGTGGAAAAAAGAGTTCTTGGGCAGCTAAAACTTAAAAGGAGAAACAGTACATTTTAACTGCATTCCAGAAGAGTTAGGGAGCTGTTTCTCGACTTACTTATTTCCTGATATATCCACCGCCTGAATGTAGAAATAGCGTGCAGGAAGGACGACAGCAGCCTTTAGCCCGGGTCCCCATACTTCGCTCTTCTCCGGACTGAGTCGCCTCTCTCCGCCGGTCTCGGCAAGTGCTGGCACTGTCCCCAGAAAGAAGCAGTAAAGCAGCAAAATGCTAAACATTTACAAGACCGACTCTCAAAATGACCCACGGATAAATGAAGTCTAAGAAGTGGTCGGAACCAGCCGCGCCTGGGGCGGGGGAGGAGGGGCACGTTGGCTGATCACGGCAGCAAACACGACTCCAGAAGATGTCCCTTGCTGTGCAGGGCAGGCGCGCGGGTCTCCACTTTTCCCTAGGAAAATCACAGGCGGAGCCGGGGCTTGTCCGGCTGATGGATGCCAGTCGCTTTGCTCAAACGAGCAGGAACCACGCTGCTCCTCCTTCTCTGGACAAAGATAAACTTCTGTTGCTCCTGCAACTGGAGCATCATTGGGGGCGAATCCGTCTCAGGTTCCAGCCCAAGGTGCAGGGCGAGGGGATTGGCCTGCGTGTCGGCCGGGCTGAGTAAGGCCTTCTCCAAGTGGCTGGCTCAGGGGCGCCCGTGCTCAGAGGCATCCTGGGACATGTAGTTCGCGACAGGACCAGCGGAAATCCTGCCAGGTTTCACCACCTCTCACTCGTTTATTTACTTTGCGGTCACCGCTTTCAGGCACCAGTTATATACTAGATGCCCAATAGAGTGGCATGCGGGGACACAGCTAAGATTTTAAAAAAATTGTCACCATATCCTCCGCGCGTGCAGAGGGCAGGTATAAAACGATGAGAGGAAGGTGTTGTCAATGATATCTGACAACCGGTCGCCGGGCACAGCCGTCCAGGGCGCTATCCCCGCGCGCTCCAATGGGACGAGAGACGCCAGCCCCAGGGTAACCAGAGGCGCGTCGCGGGCCGCGCGCGGGAAGCTGTGATCCGGGACCGGTGCCCGCTCTGAGGCGGCCGCAGCGACTCGACCCCGCCGCACAGGCCAGAGGTATCCGAGGCTGTGGGCTGGGCAGAGGTGGCGGCCCGCTGCTGTGCGCCCAGCGCGGGGGGCCCTCCACCTGGCGCCCGCGCGCCGCGGCCCGGGCCTGCCACGCCCGCGCGCTCTGGACGCCGCCTCGGCTGCCTGGGGGGCGAGGGGCCACGGCCTCTCGGGAGCCCCGGGGCCGTCCGAATGGAGGACTCTGCATCCGTGCCCGTCCTCCTCCCGGGAAAAAGTCGGGTGAAGAACTGGGCCGCAAAATGGGGGAAGTGTTAGGGAAATAAGGGTCGGGTGTTCTGGGGAACAAAGCCTGTCTTGGAGATGCCCGCGTGGATGCCGGTGGCTCCTGCCCGGCGCGAGTCTCCAAGCCACGCAAGGCAGGGCCTGGACCGTAACGGGCGGCGACTGTCCCTTCTTCCCCGTATGCCCGCTCTGCGGCCAGGGGGTCACCAGGAGGGGTCACGGTCAGCTCCGGAATCGGACCCAGAGCCTCCTGCTCTTCCTCCCTCTTCCCTCTCGGGACCCTTGCCAGCTGCTCCGAAAACCCAGACCCGCCGCTTGGCTCCGCCGGCCAAAGCGCCCTGGGTGGAGGCCCAGGCGGGGCTTTTCTGGTTTTTTTTTTTTTTTTTTTTTTTGCAATTGTCTTGAGTATTGATATCAACTGGTGCATTCAAAGCTCGAATCGGCTGCTCCCTCTCGGCGCGGGGACCGTAACTGTCCGTGTCCCACCAGCCCTGAAGCCTCGGGCGCCGGGAGCCTCCCCCGGCCCGGGCTGGTTGGGGGCGGTCACTCCAGCCGCCTCCGCGGGCTCCCTCTAGCGGCGAACTCCGGCTTCCGGCCGGCGGGGGAGGCGAGCGGAGGGGTCCGGAGGCCTCGCTGCCGGGGCTGAGACGGGGGGACGCCCAGCTCCGGGGAGCGCTCGTGGGCCAGGGAGGCGGCGGGAGCAGTGCAGGCAGAGAGCGCGGCCTCGCTCCAGCTGTCGGCCGGCGCCGCCTCCGCACACATCGGCTGGGCGCGGCGGGGACGAGCCCGCGAGACTGTCGCCTCGGTCCCGGCGGCTTCCGAGCCCGGCGGCGCGACGAGCTTCGCAGAGTAGGGGCGGGGAGCTCCGCCTGCCGGGAGCCTGGGTTAGAAGCTGCCGCGGCGCGCGGGAGGACCCGGTATCCTTCGCAGGCCGGCGGCCTCAGCCGGGGGAGGGGCTCTGGTCCGACCCGACGAGGGGTCCGGAGCGCGTGGGGCTGACACCGGGGAGAAGGACCGAGACCTGACCCGCTGGGGATTAGCGGATCTGGCCCAGCCCTGGGGCGCGTATTTCACCATCAGTAAGTCACTTTCAGGCTCCTGCGTCTCCGTGGCCTTCCGTGCAGAATAGAGATCGTAATAGTTGTCCTATGGGGGAGGCTTCGCAGGAGACGCTTAAGATTTTCGTTCCCTAAGCAAACTTGATATTTAAACACACGGCTTGAAAATTCAAAGAGAAAAGAAGGTAGCCTAGGCGATGAATATTGACCTTAAAAATGGAACGTTTATTTTACAGAACAATTCCTTCTAGTGACTTCTAAAAATCGTTACTCTAGTGGTGCATTTTATAAAATTTCGTTCACTCACAGTTAAACTGCGAGTTGCTTGCCCCGTGATCGGAAGCATACATTAAATTCAGCCTTAGGTCCTGCAATCAATCATTACTTGTAATACTTTAATAGAGCATCGGCTCTCTGGAAACTCAGATCTCACAGATGAGAACCAGGGAGGGGAAAAAGAGGCCTCTTGGCTAATAGTCCCCGGCTCCTGATTCCTGAGGCCTCTCCTAGTAAATCCTGGAATCTAAGTCCTAATCCAGAGCTTAAAATAATGCCCGGAATGATGTAGGCGCTTAAAGGTAATTATTTGTTGAGGAGACTTTCACAAATGATCATCACTAAGGATAACCCTGGCAAACCTTGTGAAAAACGTCCGGAGAATGGAAAGTTGGAAAGAGCCAGGGGGAGGAGGGATGAGGAGAAGCTAAAGGAAAGGACCATGGGCCAGACGAGCGGTTGGCTTTTTTCTAAAAGCAGAAGGTTTTAGGGTGGGGATGGAATTGGGAATGGTTGACAAAATTAGGAACAAAAGGAGCTACAAGATAGGACAAAATGGTGGGAGCTGCAGGCTATTTGGTGGAGGGACAACCTGACGGCCTTTAACTCGGTATTTCCTGAAGCTTAATTACAACATAATACAGTAATTGCTGTCTCTAGTGATTCTGTTCTCAGTAATAACTTGTGCTCAGTTCACTTGTAGGAAAGCCTGGGGACATGATAACTAGCACCCTTAGCCTCAAGCTGTCATTGACACCAGGAGAACAGACATGGATCTGGCAGAGAATAAGGAAAGAAAATAAACTCCAGCTGTGCTTGGGTCATGGGATTTGGATAACTTTCACTTTCTGTGTAGTATCTTGGGACTTTGCAATATCTTTTTGTCATTTGTTTTACTTCTATGATAAAAATCTAGACATATCACACAGTTTTTCAAAGAGAAATTTCCTTCAACAATGGTTCAAGTGAGAAAGTTTTCAGACCACTGGTGGCTTTTATTGACAATCAGTTTAAAATATTATCCCTACGTTGATGATACTCACTTTTTTTGGTAGAGTACAACCAAAGAGATCATTCTTGTTTAGTGACCATTATTCAATAGCAAAGTCCAAATGCAAACAAAACCAGACTGTTAAACTTTTTATTCATCTAGTGCTATATTCTTTCTTTTCTTTAGCTTGCAGAAAGCTCAGTCCTACCCTTTATGTTCAAATGCACTGATTTCTTTTGCCTATGTTTTTGATAAGCATATTCAATATATGTTCCAAGTGAAGCATCCTTCATCCCTATACTGCCACACAGAAGCTGGGCCCACGGGCAGAATTCCATTAAATCTGAGGATGGACGCTCTGGCAAGGTCAAAGCTAAGCTGGAGATGAAGAGATAAGAGTAGTCCCTGGAACATTTCTATCTCCCTCCTCTCCCCACCTGACCCAGACTGACTCCAACACTCTTTGGTCACCAACCCTTACTTAGCAGGACCCTATGCTCTCTTTCATGCCTCAGCCTACCACAACCCATCCATACACCCCCAATACCACAGATAATACCTACCTCTGCCCACCACGCTGGCTTTTAGAGAAAAGCATGAGGATAACAGGTCAGTAGAAAATGCTCTGTGAGGTCATCTGCTAAAAATCAGAAACTGACTCCTCAGAAAAGCCCAGTTTGGTCTGTGTGACCTCAGGCACTGACCTTCTCTTTGCATCTTCCTCCAACATGACCACGACGCCAGGAGATGAGGAAGAAGAAGGCATAAAAGCTTCCTGTCTATAGATCCCCTATAAGTACTCCTAGGATTTCTTGAAAAACATTTCTAAAAGGATACAGTTGGGGTTTCCATCTTTGATGGTGAAGCTCCAGCCAATTCTTCCTGCAAAGAACTATAAACTGCACCAATTACTAAAAAAAATCATGTTTGAAGAGAGGGAAAGCATTCCTTAAAAATAAAGATAATGGGATCTTTTCTAGGGTATGTGGACTCCCCCTTGTACTGAGCTCTGTTGCTTTAAATTACACAAAGGACAGGCATTACCTTTACTGGTTTCTCCTCACAGACTTAGAGTGATCTTGGCTCTTGTGGCAATCATTCTTCCGTTATTTCTTATTGCCTTAGTGGTTTTTGTCACTCAGTATTTGTGTGATGGGTTTTATAGAATCATTTTTCTGGAACTTATGAATATTATTCTAATTTTTAAAATAAGTGAATGGGTGGAGATATTAAGTAGTAAACGTCAAACTGGTCACCCAGGGGTGGGTTGTGTCTCTGGAACCACATCTCTAGAGCCCTGTGAAGTGGGCCCACTCAGCCGGGCGCCTGCATCAAGTACCCTCTACCACCTGTAATGGTCTGACTTATCAGGGTCTTGCTTTTGTATAAATCTTCAGCTTCCTCAAATGCCCTTGCTTGCTTTTTGAACTGTTCTCTTTCTTCCCTAAAGGAATTGGTGTAGACTTGAAAATCAGTTTTTTCTGAGACTGATCAGCAGTTAGTGACTATTAACTATAATCGATCGTGGTGATGAATGCACAGCTTCATTGAGATGAAATTCACACACTATACAATTCACCTGTTTAAAATGTCCGATTCAGGAGCTTTTAGTATATTCACAAAGTTATATGTTCATCACCTCAATCAATTATAGAATATTTTCATTACTCCAAAAAGAAACCCTTATCATCCTCAACCTCCTCCTCCCTCCCAGCCCTAGGCAACCCACGAATCTAATTTCGGTCACTAGACACTTGCCTATTTTACATTTCATATACGTGGTATCACACACTATTAGGCTCTGGGGTGATGGGCTTCCTTCAGTTAGTATCATGCTTTCAAGGCTCATCCTTGTTGTAGCATGGGTGGGTGCTTCCTTTATTTTTGTTGTTCCCATTGCTTATATATACTACATTTTATTTATTCATTCATCAATTGATAGGCCTTTGGGTTGTCTCTCCTTTTTGGCTATCGTACATAATGCTGCTATGAACATTTGTGTGGATGTATGTCTTCATTCCTCTTAGATGTGTACTTAGGAGTGAGATTGCTTGCTTCTATGGTAACTGTAAATGTTCCAGGAACTGTTTTCCAAAGTGACTGAACCGTTTTGCATTTCCATCAGAAGGGTAGGAGGGTTCCAGTTTCTCCACATCCTCAACAATCCTTTTTATTATCTATCTTTTTTATTAGAGCCATCCTGCTGGGGGTGACGTAATGTCTTGTGGTTTCGATTGGCATTTCCTCGATGCCTAGTAATGTTGACCATCTTTTCATGGGTTTATTGGCATTTCTACGCTGTCTTTGAAGAAGTCACTATTCAGATATTTTGCCCATTTTTCATTGAGTTCTTTTTGTTACTATGAAACATTATTGTAAAATAATGTTTTAATAAGACAGTGGCCAGTGATTGTGGCTGTAGGTGTTTAATGTTGTAAAATATTTATTGGATGAAGGCACATGAAACACTTGATCCATTTTTCAGTGCTTTTGGAGTCTCTCGTGGATTGTTGATGTTTCTTTCTCCTCCTTCTTTTCTTAGGAGCCCATCTTGCAGCTCTCAGGTTTCTGTAGAATGCTGTAAACGATTGTCACAGTTGGTTTTCAAGTCGTAGAAAGAGTTGCAACTTCTCCTTTGTAACAGAACTTTTCTGGTTGCATTCAATGCCTAACATTGCAGAAGCAGAAAGGGCAAATGATTCTGGAAATGGTGAGCACAAATCCGAGAGAAAGTCTCCTGAAGAGGATCTACAAGGTGCTGTTCAGTCTTTCTGCACTCGTGCCTCGGGGACACCCTTGGGTCACAAAGGAGATGGTCATTACCCGTGGAGCTGTCCAGTGACCCACACTCGGGAGAAAATTTATGCCATCTGTTCAGACTATGCGTTTCTCAACCAGGCAACCTCAATCTATAAAACTCCAAATTCAACCCGCTCTTCTTGCCTCCCTGATAATACCTCTTTACCTGCTGGAAATAATCCGTCAAGATACATTGGCATCCCAACAAGTACATCGGAAATCATCTACAATGAAGAAAATAGCTTGGAACACTTATCCAGTAGCCTGGGCAAGCTACCTCTTGCATGGGAAATCGATAAATCTGAATTTGATGGGGTGACCACAAATTTGAAACACAAATCAGGTAAGGAAGGAGGCTTGAATTTCACATGTGAAAATAATCAGAAAACAACATAGCTTGTTTAGGCTTACCATTCAACACGGTTTCCTTTTATAATGCTGAACAAGGAACATTGCCATCTGTTTGTCGGCTGTCGTTGTAGTTAAAAAATAACTTTGGGCAGAAGACATTTAGTTCATTAATGGGTTACCACTGCAAACTTCACACATAACCTGTGCATTTTGAGAGCTTTGAAAAATCTAAGAATCCTGTAAAATACAGTATTACAGATAAGTATGTGGTAGCTTATAAATGGTTCATGAGGTGGCTAAAATAACATACTATTTTGTGGTTTTGCAGAGACATGAACTCATCTTTCCCAATTAAACATTTCATTTTCTTTTCTACCATATAACATTGTGGCTTTTTCTTGTGAAAATTTTTTGAGCACCCAGCAAGGTCTCCAGGTACTGCTGAGTAGGTTGTGTGCTGCACAATTTAAGAGAGGGCTATTCACCTAGCATGCAATACACAGCCTTTGCATTTGCAGTGTGGTGGCCCTTTGGCAGAAACTGCTGCTTTTCACTTCTTTCTTCTGAACTCATAGTAATATGGGATTTTTATGTGGTGGGTACTCTTATCGTCATTTTATATAAAGTAAAGAAATTGGGGCCCAGAGGGGATGATAAGTTGCTTGTGGAAAGTTGATAGCTAGTACGAGGCAGAGCTAGGGTTTGTATTTTACTCCTAGGTGTCTCTGACCATTTGGTAAAACCTCCATACTTCTTGTTCATTTGCCAGATCAGTGTGTTTCACAGAATATTAGGTAAATTTGTAATTCTCAGTGTGTTGGGGGGGTCACTTTGTGTCTATTTTTTATGGGTGATTGGTCTATAATTTTTTCATAATATCTTTTTTAGGTTTAGCGTTAGGGCTATGCAGGTCTCCTGAGACAAGTTGGAAAGTGATCTCTCCTGTTTTCTGAGGGGTTTTCAGAGGGGTATTAAAAATCTCTAATAATGTGATTATGGAGTTGTCTTGATTCCCATTAATTCTGTCCAGTTTTAGTCTGTCCATTTTATCTAAGTTGTTGGTTTTGTTGGCATAAAGTTATTTCTAATAGTCCCCTTTATTCCTCTAATATCTACAGGGTCTTTAGTAATAACTCCTCTGTTGTTCCTGATACTGATCATATATGTTTTCTCTTTTTTTTCTGGCTACGGCTTTATCATTTTTTTTCATCTTTTCAAATAACCAGCTTTTAGCTTTGTTAATTTTCCGGGTTGTTTGCTCACTATTCTATTAATTTCTGCTTATTATTTTCTTCCTTCTGCTTACTTTGGGTTTACTACAACTTTCGGATTCAAGACTTTTCTCCTATGAGCGTTCAATGCTTTAAGCTGCTCTGTGAGGACTGTTTCAGGCACTGCTCACACATGCTGGCCCGCCTTATTTTTATTATCACTTGATGTAAAGTATTTTCTAATTTTCCTTGTGATTTCTTCTTTGATACATACATTACTGTTCAGAATTGTGCTGCTTAATTTCCAAATATTTGGGTGCTTTTGCTAATGTTGATTTCAAATTCCATTCCATTGTGGACAGAGGACATAAGACCTCAGTCTTTTGGAATGGGCTGAGACTCGTTTTTTGACCCAGCATACAGTCCACGTTGGTGAATGTACCATGTGCATCTGAAAAGACTGTCTGCCTATTCTGTAGTTGCTGGGTGTAGTGTTCTGTGATATTTACTGGATCAGTGTTTGAGAATGTTTTTCACATCTAAGTTTTCACATCAGTTAATTTTTGTCTTGCTCTATCAATTGCTGAAAATGGAGTGTTAAAAATCAATTATAATTGTCATCTTTTCTGCATTTACTTCTGTTGATTTTTGCTTCTATGCAATTTGAAACTCTGCTATTAGTGCACACACAATTATGATTTTTATTTCCTCTTGTTGCATTGACCTTTTGTTGTTATGAAATGTCCCTCATTATTCCTAGTAATAATTGTTTTTCTGAAAGTGACTTTGATATTGATCTAACTACTCCAGCTTTCTTTTGACCGGTGTTTGCGTGGTATGTATTATATTTATGGTATATATATACCATGGTATATGGTATATATATACCATATATATGGTATATATATACACATACATACATACATACATACCATGGTATATAATATATTTATATTATAAATAATATATTATTTTCAACTTGTATCTTTTTATATTTAAAGTCCATCTCTCCTACTCAATCATAAAAAAGGATGAGATTTTGGCATTTGGTACAACACGGATGGACTTGGAGGGCATAAGTCAGACAGGGAAAGACAAATATCATATGATTTCACTTGTACATGGAATCTAAAACCCAAAACTAATGAATAAGCAAACAAACAAAAAGCGGAATCAGATCTATAAATATAGAGAACATAATGGTGGTTTCCAGAGGGGAGGGGGTGGGGGGATGGGCAAAATGGGTGAAGGGGAGTGAGAGATACCGGCTTCCAGTTATGGAATGAACACCTCATGGGAGTAAAAGGTACATACAGCACAGGGAACAGAGCCACTGATTCTGTAATAGGGTTGTGTAGTGACAGATGGTAGCTACTTTTGAGATGAGCATAATACCTAAAATTGTTGACTCACTATGTTGTGCTCCTGAAACTAAGGTACCGTTGTGTGTCAACCCCACTCAGAAAAGAAAATACATGATTCATCTTCCTCTTGATAAAAATCTTATAACTGAAAAAAGGAAGTGCCTCTCTTAAAGATAGCTTTTAAATATAGTCAATGAATTACTTGTTTCAGGTATTGTTTCTTTTCTTTTCTTTTCTTTTTTTTTTTTAAAGATTTTATTTATTTATTTGACAGACAGAGATCACAAGTAGGCAGAGAGGCAGGCAGAGAGAGAGAGAGGAGGAAGCAGGCTCCCTGTGGAGCAGAGAGCCCGATGTGGGGCTCGATCCCAGGACCCTGGGATCATGACCTGAGCCGAAGGCAGAGGCTTTAACCCACTGAGCCAGCCAGGCGCCCCATCAGGTATTGTTTCTTTTAGTTCTGGAATTTACATTTTTTAAAGTAGTTTTTGTTTTCTATCTTGGATTTGCCATTCTTTTCATTTCATTTTCATTCATTACTGGAAGATTGTGTCTATCTCATAAAGCGTAGTTATCATACCCACTTTAAAATCCTTGTCTGCCAGTTTTAAGATCTGGGTCATCTCAGAGGTGGTCTTATCTTTTTTTTTTTTTTTTTTTCTTTTTCTTGAGAAGGTGTCACATTTTTCAGTTTCCTTACATGTTTAATAATTTTGAACTGTATCCAAGGCACTGGAAATGTTGTGGCGATTTTTGATTCTGGTATATTCCTCCAAAGAGTGTTTTATTTTACATTTGTTCATTTGTTTGTTTTTAATTTTAGCAGCATTGAATTTGGTTTGACTAAAACTGCCAGTTTGGTCTCTGGAGGACATTTCAAATCTCTGTTCGATTTTTTAAGCCTTACCTGTGCTGTTTGGGGTCTTCTCCGTGCATGGTTGGTTCCAGGATCAGCCCAAGATTTGGGCCAAATGTATACATAAAATTTGAGTCTCCCCTTTTCTGGCTGTTTTATTTCTGGGGTCCCCACCCACCTCACTTTCCAGTGACAATGATTGCCCAAAATTCTGTCCCATGGTTCCTCAAGTCAAAAAGATGACAGATATTCTACTTATATTTGCTATCCTCAGACCTTTCTCTAAAAGCCAGTGTGGTGACTAGAGGTATGTGTGTATGTATGGATGTTTCTTTGGTGTTGGGACTAGATGGGTGTGTTAGGGGGAGGGTGAGGACTAGAAGAAGGAATATGACAATGACAAGGGAAGGTGGGCAAAGGCTCCTGGAGTTGACGAGATGGGGAGACAGAGTATTTAGCTGTCGATCTGTTACGTTCCTCTCTCAATCTTAGCTTCTACTTTGCCAGAGCATCCCTCTCTCAAACTACATAGAATTTTGCCTGTGGGACCAGCTCTTCTTGTGGCAACGTGGGGATTTTGTGAAGGGTGCGCATTTGGAATGCACACTTATTTAGCCCAGGGGGCTCTTAGGAGTAGAGTAGAAGGGGACAGAGGGTAGGCTCAGGTAAGCTTTAGAGGAAAGTATGCGGGTCCAGACCACTCTGGGCGCTGCTGGAGTCACAGATCACCAGGCTTCATTAGCCTCTAAGATTTTAAGTGGGTGGGAAAACTACGTAGGGCATTAAGGGATTATTGGGCAGTGAAGACGTGGGAAGTAGATTTTCCATCTTCTTACACCCTAAGATATATTTTATTAGTGAAAGAAACTTTTCAGAATGAGACTTAACTCACGTTTGCCAGTGGTTGTTCAGCTCTGTAAAAATTTGTGTTCTCTGTGAAGACTTAAAGGGAATAGCTAGAGGAAATGGGGAGAAGCTTGTTTCTGGATATTATAGTGTTTGTCATTATGACATCTTATAAAAATCAGAGAAATCCCCTGTGTCACAAGAGTTTCCGAGTTCCAGCCGGTTTGGGTTTTATTGTAGAGCAATTTGAGTGAATGAAACAAGCCCCTTTCCATGTCTGCTTTCTAGGCATATATCTATATAGTCTATGTTTTATGATTAGCATGACTCGTAAAAATAAAATATTAACTTTTATTCGATTTTTATAACAGATTTGATTATTTCATTGAAAATCTAGTATGTGTGAAAAGTAGTAAGTATTTGAGCATAGCTGTCTGAAATGTTAATAGTATTTTAGTGATGCGAAACTTGAATTTTATTTATTAACATGTATTTTAAAGTTTTTATTTAGATTCATCAGTTAACATACAGTGTTATATTAGTTTCAGGTGTGCAATATAGTGATTGATCACTTCCATACATCACCCAGTGCTCACCACAAGCTCATTCTATAATTCCCATCACCTAGCTCACCCATCCCTTCTGGTGACCATCAGTTTGTTCTCTGTAGTTAAGGTTTTAATTAAATAATTTTTGCCTGAATAATCCACTAGCATTATTCAGAAATAAAAAGTATAAACATTGGGATGCCTGGGTGGCTCAGTGGGTTAAAACCTCTGCCTTCGGCCCAGGTCATGATCCCAGGGTCCTGGGATCAAGCCCCGCATCAGGCCCTCTGCTCAGCAGGGAACCTGCTTCCCTTCCTCTCTGTCTGCCTACTTGTGATCTCTTTCAAATAAATAAATAAAATCTTTAAAAAAAAAGTGTAAACATTAAGCAGAGCAAAGTCTAATTTCATTTTTGTCTTATTTTTATCTAGCTCCTAATTCCCCTTAAGTAACTACTATTATTCGCCTTATGTGTCTTCTGGAGAGATTGGTGTGTGTGTATGCATGTGTGCCTGTGTGTGTGCATTCACTATTAAGCACACACACACACACACACACACACACACACATAGAGAAAGGGGACTTTGTTTTCCATTCTAGTTCCTGGTACTAAATTTGCATTTTAATAATGTACATGTAAGCATCATTCTTAATTCATTTTGTGGTATCTACAAGGCCTGGAGTTATTTTTAAATATCACATCATTGCATTATTGGATCTAGTGCTTTTAATCTTTTAACAGAGTTACATTAATGTGTTTTTATTGTTTTGTAGAAAGGATTCATTTTTGGAAAATGGCCTAGTTAAATATTTTAACTGTTGGTAATTTGATTTTCTAAACCAAAGATTTTGTGATTGAGTCTTTTACTAGCTAAGCAACTAGATCAGGAATTGGAGTATAGGTATCTGATAGGAACTAACACTTGTGGTTGCTTAAACTTGTTTTTTTTTTCTCTCTTTAAGCTAGGGGAATATTCTTGAAGATACATGTATTTCTTCAATATGTTTGCAAGTATTTTGAGAACTAGTGGCATTGCTTTTTAGTTTTGTTACATAATTAATTGTATTGCCATGGTAGTTTATTTCATCTTGAGCATTTTGCTTATTTTGTATTCTTGTATTCTAGGCAATGTAAAGAAACAAGTTTCCAAGAAAAAAACTTCAGATAAAAAAGGAAGACATCAAAGGGAGTGGCCTCAGTATTCTCCTCTTGAAGATATTAAGCAGCGGAAAGTACTAGATCTCAGAAGATGGTAATCTCTAAAAATTGACTTTTTTCCTTAACCACACAATACCATTGTCATACTTAATAAAATTAACAATGTTATATTTCCATAGTACCTGATTCCCAGGCTAAATTTAGATTTCCCCGATTTTTCTGAAGTACCTTAACACTTGGTTGTTCATAGTGAGACCCAACCATGAACCACACCTTGTGTTTGCTTGTTGTGGCCTTAATGGCTCTCTTAATCTAGAATAGTCTCTACCTCACTTCTCTTACCAGTTTTGGTTTGTTTGTTTTGTTTTGTTTTAAGTCTAGAAGATTTTCTTTCTTTTTTTTTTTTTTTAAAGATTTTAGTTATTTATTTGACACAGAGAAAGACAGCGAGAGGGAACACAAGCAGGGGGAGTGGGAGAAGGAGAAGCAGGCTTCCCGCCGAGCGGGGAGCCTGATGCGGGACTCCGTCCCAGGACCCTGGGATCACTATCTGAGCCAAAGGCAGACGCTTAACCAACTGAGCCACCCAGGTGCCCAGGGAATTGACTTCTTAAAGAGACTTGGCCAAATAACTTGTAGAATGTCCTATCTTCTGGATTTGTCTAATTTTTTTTCCCTCGATAGTTGTCTAAATTACTTCTATAACCTCTGTATTTCCTGAAAGCTGGAAATTAGACATAAAGACTTGGTTTAGATTCTGGTTGAACATTCGAGGCAAGAATACTGCCTACGTGGGATCCTGTGGCCTCCATATTGCATCGCATCAGGAGGTACATAGTATCTGGTCATCCAGTATTAGATTCCAAGAGTGATTACTGGATTTCAGTGGTGACAGCCTAGCCCACACTGCCGAGTTTTTTTGATCCCCTTCTACAACTGTCATGTAATCAGTGGGGTGACAGTGGTATCATGCTAATGTCCTGTCCCCATTAACTTTCCACCGATTGGCTTTAGCCAAACCTGTTGACGATTATTCCCTGAATCCTTGTTGCAAAATGGTGATATTTCAAATTTCCATCATTTTTTTCTCCTTTTATTAGCTGATATTCTTCTAATAAGAAGAGCCTTCACCCACCAACTGGGGCTATTTGGTTACCTTAGAATATAGTTCCTATTCTAAAGAAAAAAATACTTAATTAATGATAGCTTTTAAATATTACTAGCCTATGATTTGAGGTCTGAAAAATTATTTGTATGAGATTTAAAAAACGTTAGATTTTATCATTTACTTAATGAGCTTTGGACCCTTTACTGTGGGTTGAGAATACAGAGAAGCACAAAACATGGTCCTTGTTTTCTCAAGGTTTAAAATCTAAGTGAGAAATGGGAACTAAGCAGAAAAATACCAAATATCTCAGGCAATCTGTCAGATGGTGAGTCTGAATAAACTACCAGCATGAGAGGAGGTAATGAGGAACTTGATCTTAAGAGATGCTTCACTGAGGAGCTAGGTCTTCAGGGAGGAAATCTGAGGGGATGGAGGGTCCAAAGGTCTTTGAATGGATGGTAGGAAAGTGTCTTGCTTTTTTTTTTTTTTTTTTAAAGATTTTTTTTTTAACTTATTTGACAGACAGAGATCACAAGTAGGCAGAGGCAGGCAGAGAGAGAGGGGAGAAGCAGGCTCCCTGCTGAGCAGAGAGCCCGATGCAGGGCTTGATCCCAGGACCCTGAGATCATGACCTGAGCGGAAGGCAGAGGCTTTAACCCACTGAGCCACCCAGACGCCCCAGTGTCTTGCTTTTTGATAATGAAGATCAGACAAGCTTGTCTGGAGTGAAGCTCAGAGAGCTAAGAAACTTGCCCAACATCATATGGTGAATAAGTAGATCTTGTATTGAAACTGAAGAGAGCTGGACTCCAATGTTCATGTTCTTTCTTTGTAACACCTGTCATGATCTATGTCTTGGACACCAGGCTAAGGATTTAGCTTTTTTTTATTCTGATGTAGAGAGAAGCCATTGATGATTTCTTAACAAAAGGGCATTTTACAATAAACTGGTAGTAATAAGTCTGTAGAGTGTGTTGGAGAAAGACACTATAATCAAAAACAGTAATTTTAGCTTCTTTGTCCATTTTTGGTTCTAATCCCTTAGATTTAAGATATGTTTTAAGAACAAATTTGGATAATTGTATTTTTTTTGAAGATTTTATTTATTTATTTGACAAGGAGAGAGAGAGATCACAAGTAGACAGAGAGGCAGGCAGAGAGGGGGGGATGGCAGGCTCCCTGCTGAACAGAGAGCCCGATGTGGGGCTCCATCCCAGGACCCCGAGATCATGACCTGAGCCAAAGGCAGAGGCTTAACCCACTGAGCCACCCAGGTGCCCCTGGATAATTGTATTTTAATAGTATAACATGTGAAGCCATAAAGGCTTGGATGAGGAGGACAGACGGGAGAAATAACTTGAGGGGAAAAATTGCCAGGATGACAAGCTCATATTCCACTGAGAATATTACAAGATTAGGGTTGAAGTGGAAACACCCATAGGAAATAGTATCTCCCCCCATTTCATATATTGAAATCCTAACCCCCAAGGTGATGGTATTAGGAGGTGGGACCTTTGGGAAGTAATTAAGTCATGAGGGTGCAGCCCCTGGGAATGGGATTAGTGCCTTATAAGAAGACAGGAAGAGGGAACTTGCTTTCTCCTCTCTGTCTCTGCTTCATGATGGGAGGATACAATGAGAGGGTAGGCATATGCTAAACAGGAGGCAGTTTTCCATCAGACACTGGATTTGCTAGCATCTCAGCCTTGGACTTCTCAGCCTCCAGAACTGTGAGAAATAAATGTTGTTGAAGCTACCAGGTCTGTTGTAATTTATTATGGCAACCTGAGCTAAGGCACCATATGATCCAGTAGTCCCAAATCTGGGTATATATCCAAAAGAATTGAAAGCAGGCCTTGAAGACCTATTTGCATACTGTCTTCATTACAGCATTATTCACAATAATGGAGAGGGGGAAGCAGCCCCAGTGTTCATCAATGAAGGAATAAAGAAAACATGCTATATACCTAGCATGGAATATTATTCCGGCTTAAAATAGAAGGAATTCTGACACATGCTACAACATAGATGAACTTTGAGGACATTATGCTAGAAGAAATAAGCTGGACACAAAAAGACCAGAAATGTGTGATTCACTTATAGGAGGTACTTAAAAGTCATCAAAATCATAAAGACAGCATGTAGAATGGTGGTTGCCAGTAACAAAAAAATAAATACTGTAGATTTCATTTATATGAAGTGTAAAGTAGTCAAACTCATAAAAATGGAAAGAAGAATGGTGGTTGTCAGGGCTGATAGGAGGGGAAAAAGGGTGTTGTCCAGTGGGTGTAGAGTTTCAGTCTTGCAAGGTGAGAAAGTTCTAGAGATCTCTTTCACGACAATATGAATATAGCTAACTTTACTCAACTGTACCCTTAAAAATGGTTAAGATGGTGAATTTTATGTTGTGTTTTTACCAAAATTATTTTAAATAGTCAACAAAAATGGGGGACAGATTTGACCATGAGGATCAAAGATAGGAGACAACTCTTCAGTGATAATCAGCTCTATTCAAGGACGAGTAAAAATCAGAGTAAGCAACTTGTTATATGTATATCAAAGTTGCAAATAAGCAAAACCAGGGACAACTGCAGGAGGCATATACATCTTTGGGAGCGTTAGTCTAGGAAGTAAAGTTAAAATTCAGAATAAGTCCTTTATATCAAAAAAGTGGTAACTTACACACTTTCTTGAAATGAAGTCAAAGAAGAGATTGTATGACAACAGAAGGAGATAATTGGCGTGCCCTTGGAAAGAAGTAGAGGACAGGAAAAAAAAAAAGTCATTGTAGAGGTGAAAACCACATTAGGAGCAAGGGAAAAAAACCCAACCCAGTGAAAAACATAATCAAGTCAATGGTGAGCCAGTGTGAGGAAATCGCACAAAACTCACATAGAAAAGAACAAAGACGTAAAAATGATTAAAGAACAGATAAGTATTGGGGCTCCTGGCTGGCTCAGTCAGTGGAGCATGTGACTTTTGATATTGGGGTTGTGAGTTTGAGCACCACATTGTGTGTAGAGATTACTTAAAAAGAAAATCTTAAGAAAAACACAAAAAAAGAGCAGATAAATATGGCTAACAGAGGTCCAGATAGCACTAACTGGTATTCTTGAGGAAGAGATCAGAACAAAAGAAAAAAAATAATTTGAAGACACAGTGGAAGGAATGTTCCCCAAATAAGGAAAGGCTGGAGTCTGCAGGTTTGAAAGGTTAAATTGGGAAGAAAAATTGATGGATGAGCACCAAGGCATGTTCTAGGGGAGTTACTGAAAGTCAAGCATAAGGAGTCCTGGGCTCCAGGTGCAAAACCAGTTGTACAAAGGGAAATTATCCCTTTGGTCTCGGTCTTCACCATGGTAGCACTGGCTACCAGGCTACAGTGGAATCATGTTTCTTGGGAGAGAAAAAGTAACCAAATGTCACATTCATGTTGTCATTCAAGTGTGGAAGCAACAGACTCCCATCACGTTAGAATTCAGTGACTACAATACTCATGAGCATGTAGCCATTCAACGAGGAATATAAACCACTCAAGGTATTGGAGGGGAAGAAAAGGAATGGAAAGCAGTAGGAAAAAAGTCATGTTGACTGCTAAGTCCATTTGTAGGAAATTGAGTTGCAGAACAGAATGTTGGTGGGAGCTATGAATACCTCAGCACTTCCAGAAGTTAGCTTCAGAGTTTGAAACGAGAGTTTCTAGAATGAGAGTTCTGGAATGCTAACACTTTCTCAATCCAGGATCATTTCTGTGCAAATAGATAGAAACGTTCATAATGTGTTCATTCGTTTTTTCTTTTGTGGATATAAACCAGTTTGTAGTCCTTCCTGGAGGATGATTAGTGTGTGCGTTTCCTCGGGCTGCCACAACAAAGGGCCATAAACTGGTGGCTTAGAACAGCAGAAAATCTCATAGCTCTGAAGGTTGGAAGTCTGCAGTCAAGCTGTTGGACAAGGCCAGCCACATTCCCTCGGAAATCTGTGGGGTAGAATTTTCTGCTTCATCCTACCTCCCGGTGCTTCGATGGCAGCCCTTGGCATTCCTAGGCTTGCTGATGCAACACTTCCGCTTCCGTCTGTGTTTCATCCCACTGTGTGTCCGGGTCTTCGTCCGGTGACATTCTTGTCTCTGTGTGTCCTTCTTCTCTTTTTATAAGAACACCGGTCATCTTGGATTAGGGGCCCACCCCTACTCCAGTGTGACTTACCTTAACTTGATTGCATCTGCAAAGACCCTGTTTCCAAATAAGGTTGTATTCATAGGTACCTGTGGTTAGGACTTCAGCATATCTTTTTAGGGAGGTGTAGTTCAATCCATGCAATTAGTGTATTATGGGGCTACATGATAACCATATAGTCGAGTGACCATAAACATCTTTTGTGTCTTAGTCTTAAAGGTCCTGGTTCAGTCTATAGATACAAGTTGAGTTGTTGATTGTATATGTGCCATTATGCACATTATATGTACCTATACAAACCTACATACATAGATCTGTAATTTTTATTTTTGTAATCAATTTTAAGGTAAGACTAAACTGTGTTTAGTGGTAAGTCTTATTTTTCCTTTTTGTTTTGGCCACTATTAGCACCTTTATTAGAAAGCAGTGGGGAGGTGCACCTGGCTGGCTCAGTCCATAGAAAGTGTGACTCTTCATCTTGGGGTTTTGGGTTTGAGCCCCACATTGGGTGTAGAGATTACTTAAAAAAAAAAAAAAAATCTGGAGCACCTGGGTGACTCAGTCAGTTGGGCATCTGCCTTCTGCTCAGGTCATGATCCCAGGGTCCTGGGTTCGAGTCCCACATTGGGCTCCTTGCTCAGCAGGGAGCCTGCTTCTCCCTCTCCCTTTGCCCCTCCCGCTGCTCATGCTTGTGCTCTCTTTCTCTCTCTTTCTCTCTCTCTGTCAAATAAATAAAAATTTAAAAAAATCTAAAAAAAGAAGAAAGCAGTTGGGAAAAGGCAATTTGAAAGCCAATACTATTTCTTTTTGTCTGATTGAATGGTCTGCTTCTTTTCTCATCTGTTCACATTAGCTGCAGTCACTTTTCTTGATACATGACAATTTGGAACATTGTCTGGATTACTCAGTGCAACAAAATTGTGCCATGGAAGGCTTTTGTGTTACACTTTAAAATTCTCCCTGACGATGGAACCATTGCTTCTCATCCAGAAGTTTTAGTTGGACATAGTGTGTGATAAATGGATGTTTTTTAGTTTGAGTTGAAGAATCTGAAAAATTGGTGCATGGGACAGTACTTTGTTTTGTTTCCCCAGTATTTTTTTTTTCTTTAAAATTTTATTTATTTGTCAGGGAGTGAGAACACAAGCAGAGGGAGCAGCAGGCAGAGGGAGAAGGAGAGGCAGGCTCCCCACTGCTCAGGGAGCTTGCCACTGGGCTCAATCTCAGGACCTTGGGATCATGACCTGAGCTGAGGGCAGCTGCTTAACTGACTGAGCCACCCAGGCACCCCTTGTTTTCCCAGTATTTTTGAAGTTGCAAATAATCATGTATGTAGCTCAATTAGGAGCTTACACTGAAATTTTAGTAGTTGTTGTCTACATGTACATATCATTATTTTTTTCCCATCAGTTTAGATAACATCCACTTTAACTAGTGGTTAGTTAAACTTAGCTAACTTTATTAAACTGGATGGTTTATTGTTGTTATGCATTGATGATACATTTAATACATTTGAAAATATTTTAACTGAGTAAAGATTGTACATTGGCTTAGATGAGTGAAGTTCTCATCATGCTAATACATTTAACTGCCGTGAGTATTGTATTTCTACATGCATATTTTGTATTCATTCAAGTGAAGAAAACAGTCTTTTGTTCTCTCAGGTACTGCATAAGCCGCCCACAATATAAGACTTCTTGTGGTATCTCCTCATTAATTTCGTGTTGGAATTTTTTATATAGCACACTGGGAGCTGGAAAGTAAGTATGTTAATTTATTGGTATCCCTAAATTCCAATTTCAGAAGTTATTTGGTATTGCTTTTTCTGTAATTAAAGATTTTTAAGAATAAGTTTTTCATACATCGAGAAAAAATTGCTACATTTTATTTTAAGCCTTTAGCTAAAAATAAGAAGCATGCCTTGTGACAAAATAAATATTAAGAATGTAGTTGACCCTTGAAAAACACAGGGGTTAGGGCAGTCTAAATTCCACATATAACTTTTGACTCCCCAGAAATCTAATGACTCATGGCCTCCTGTTGACCACAACCCTAACCAATAACATAAACAGTAGATGAACGCATGCCTTGAATGTTGCTTGTGTTATATACTGTATTCTTACAATAAAGTAAGCTGGAGAAAAAATGTTGTTAAGAATATGATAAGGAAGAGAAATGTATTTAAAGTACTACATTTTATTAAAAAAAAAAAATCTGTGTATAAGTGGACCCATGCAGTTTAAACCCATGTTGTTCAAGGGGCAACTGTATTCCTAAAATTGTTTGTAAATCGGGTGGACGTATCAGCCTTGAGACAGATTATATTTGCATATGACTGGAACTGTAACTGAAAGGCGGTGTTTCTTTTGTAGTCTTCCAGCTATTACCCAGGAAGAAGCTTTACATATTTTGGGCTTTCAACCCCCATTTGAAGATATTAGGTTTGGCCCCTTCACTGGAAATACAACACTTATGAGGTATGACGTCCTTGCTTCGAGACAATACCTTCTTTCCAGTTCTGCAAAATAACAGTGCTGTAGATGTGTGTTGATGGTAAAACCGTGGTTCCAGCTGCTGGGCCCCAGCCTCTAGTAGAGATGCCAGACTTGGATGCTGCCTGAATTTTGCTGGAATTGGAATAGTGGCAGCTGAGCTACGGAACTGTTATATGAGCAAATTTTCATATTTGTCATTTTTAGGTGGTTTAGACAAATTAATGACCACTTCCATGTAAAAGGATGCTCGTATGTTCTATATAAGCCTCATGGGAAGAATAAGACAGCTGGAGAAACTGGTAAGTAAATATGCAGAAGATTTTTACACACACACACACACACACACACACACACACACACGCACACGCTTTAGGATCCATCTCAAAGATTGGCTGATTTGGTTCATGGGGCATTATGCAAACCTTAAACACAGTCTGTTACTTTTATGTGTCTTTTTCCAAGGGGGAACTCATACTAGAGATCTGTAGGATACTTCTCTTTACATGGGTCAATATTTTTAGCTCTTCTCATCTTTGCATGCAGAACTTTTAGAATTTAAAAGTGTGTCCTAAACACTACTTTGGTGCATTGCTTGAATTGTTTGGACCTATGGTGTGTGTACGTGCCTGTGTGTGTGTGCACATGTGAGTGCATGCCAATAAAATTGTTTCAGGAAGCAACATGGAATGTGCAGCTCCTCTTCTTAAAAAGGAATGCCAGGATTTTAGAATATTTGATGTTAGGCCTGCATAGTAACATCTAACAACAGGACAATGGATTTTTTTTTTAAGATTTTATTTATTTATTTAACAGAGAGAGACAGCGAGAGAGGGAACATAAGCAGGGGGAGTGGGAGAGGGAGAAGCAGGCTTGCGCTGAGCAGGGAGCCCGATGTGGGGCTCCATCCCAGGACCCGGGGATCACGACCTGAGCCGAAGGCAGACTCTTCACTGACTGAGCCACCCAGATGCCCCAGGACAATGGATTTTGAAAGTGACGTAGTTCTGTTAGAGAATAGTCTTGGTTAACAGAGAGTAATGGAATTGATCTTCAGGATTGTTTTAGTTATATGCTAATTATATTGACAATCTCCATCTTTCACATTTCATCATAGACATTTGACTTTACTAACCGGAAAATTATAGTTAAAGAAAAAATTATTCTGACACTTGTTAAAATGATAAGGAAGTCTTCCTTCAAGACTGTCATAATGGATTATTATCATGGGGGCAGAGATGGGATTCAACCCTGAGTACAACAAAGACTGCTGGGAATTTATTGTCAATTAGCAAAGTGAGGGGATGGTCAGCAGATGGGAGGTTACTGTAAGGGGACCTGAAGCGGGGTTAGGAGGATTCTTGCTAACTGGTCTGAGAGGATTCTAATGGTAGGCAGGCCAAGGGCAGGCTACAGGCTTGGACACCAACAGCGGGGGATGAGGAAACTGGTCAGCGATGGCAGGTGAGAAAGTTTCTCTAAACCGGCTTAGCGGGATTCTTGCTGAAGCTGGATGAGCCAAGCATAGACGCAGAAGCCTGAGGTGGAGACGTTGTAGAGAAGGCGGCTCCAAGAAACCTAACCAGTCTGGTCAAAGTGAGAGGGTACGTGGTTTATCATGGCAAAGGACTGAACAGAGAGTAGGATATAGTCTGTTGACCTGTAGCAGGTGTATCAAGTTGGTTCTGAGTCAGGCAGATGGGGAGTTGACTTGTCGGTTTCTACACACACTGGTTCTGTGACCTTGAACAAGGCATTTAGGACCACCTGCTGAGCCCAGTGTAGCCCTTCATCTTTCCATATCTGTACCCATCCCATAGGGTCACTGTGAAGATAAAAAGAGACGTATTTGTAATATACCTAGCTCCTTGTCTGACACAGAGTCAGGACTTAGTAAATGTTAGCTTTTATTCTTACTCCCTGAATTCTGTGCATTTTCAGAGAACCTGTCCCTGTGGAAAAAGCAGCTTTTTAAATGAATGGTGTATTTTCTTTTTTTGTTTCTGGGTTTTTTTTGTGTGTGTGTTTTTTTTTTTTTTTTTTTCCTGTTTCTAGTGAGACTGTCAGCACACCTCCCTCAGAAACTGGTCAGACAATTAAAAATTATGAAAGTAAACCTGGCGATTCACAGACCTGTACCCCTGGGGCTAATAATATATTATATGTTAATAATAATAAAAAAAACTATGAAAGGATATACTTTCCAGTTTGCTAATTTTCTCTTCCAATGTTGTCTAGTTGCCTTTTTAAAGAAATTGTCCATTGAATTTCAGTTTTTAAAAAAATTGTCATGTTTTTCATTCCAGAAATATCTAGTTCTTTTTCAAACCTGCTTAAAAAAATTTTTTTTAAACTTGAGGTATAACTGGCATATAACATGATATTAGTTCCGGCTCCATAACATAATAATGATTTGCTATTATATGCATTGCAAAATGACCAACACAATAGGTGTGGCTCACATCTGTCACCACACATAGTTACAGATTTCTTGTGATAAGGACTTTCAAGCTTTACTTCCTTTATAGCTTTCAACTCTACAATAACCAGAGTCTCCTTGCTATACATTACATCCCCATATCTGGCTGATTTTATAACTGGAAGTTTGTACCTTTAACTACCTTCACACATTTCACCTTCCCCATTTTATTTTATTTTTTTATTATTATTATTTTTAAAGATTTTATTTATTTATTTGACAGACAAAGATCACAAGTATGCAGAGAGGCAGGCAGAGAGAGGGGGGAAGCAGGCTGAGCAGAGAGCCCGATATGGGGCTCGATCCCAGGACTCTGGGACCATGACCTGAGCTGAAGGCAGAGGCTTTAACCCACTGAGCCACCCAGGTGCCCCCCCCATTTTATTTTTTAAGGTCTCTTTTTTTCATACAATTTCAAGCCCCCTTTATTTTTTTGTTCCAATACATCAAGACTTTTTTCCCCCTGTATTTGTTCTAATATCGAAAATTTGTCTGATTCTACTTTCTCTTGTTTCTTTTGGATTTCATTTGAGATGCTGTGTTTCCTTGTGTGTTTAATTTTTTTTAAAACTGTAATCTAGTTGGATCTACTTCTGTGGCAGTGTTTGGGGCTTGGTTTGAATTTAAGAATCTTGAGAGATTTGCATTTGGTTTTGCCCATTTCCTGGAGACCGGGACAATTTTTATTTAAACTCTCTAATTGAAGATTTTTTTTTTTTTAAGATTTTATTTATTTATCTGACAGACTGAGATCGCAAGTAGGCAGAGAGGCAGGCAGAGAGAGAGAGAGGGAAGCAGGCTCCCTGCTGGGCAGAGAGCCCGATGCGGGACTCGATCCCAGGACCCTGAGATCATGACCTGAGCTGAAGGCAGCAGCTTAACCCACTGAGCCACCCAGGCGCCCTCTAATTGAGGATTTTTGTTGTGATGATACAGATGGCATCATTTTGAACTGGCTTATGATTTTGAATTCTTAGGGGAACTCTTTCCTCCACTATCAGGCCAAAATTTGGACCGGCACATTTCTTCCATCTCTGTTCCATGTAGTCAGTTTATTTCTGGTTCACCTTTAAACTGCATTGTGTTGCCCTGGCTTTGCTTGGGCTCCCTCCTCTTGTCCTCTTGCAAGGGAAGGCAAATCTTACCTCCACCTGTCTTGGGTTTTCAGCTGAGACCTGTAACAAAAAGACCGATGAACAAATTTATTGACATGTACAGCACGCTTCAGGTGGGAGAAACCTCAGTGAAAAGTAACTCAGCCTGGTGGCTTAGAACAGCTTACTTGGCATCTGCAACAAAGAACAATACATTTGTAGAGAAGCGAGGGGACATAGGGAGACTATTTTGGGAGGGAAGGTTACTCATATGGGAGGGAACTAATGGAACCAGGTTGTTTGCAGATTCCTCCGGTGCCATATCTGGGCTAAGAGTCCTGTCTCCCGTAAAAGAATTTACATCCTGCCTTTAGGTAGGGAAGGGGAGGGTTGAGAAAGCTTTTCCTGCATTTGTGTCTTCTTAATTGTCTTCAGCTCAAAATAATTTTTATGTCAAAGAGGCATATTTTGGGTGACAGGCCTATTTTGGTTTCCTTCCTGCTCTGTCTTGGGCACCCCCAGCCTTATTTCCTGCAGACCTCCTGTGGGAATCAGAGTAGAAGCTTACCTTCTATGGGGTTTAGCAGAAACCCTCAGCACAAAGGTCTTTGGAGGACCTCCACTTTTATTTCTTGTTTAATCTCTGGAAATCCTTCAGTTATATATTTTAACAGATCTTTTAAATATTTTGTCTAGTACTTTTGTTATGTCATTGGCAGGGTTTTTTAGGGTCTCTGTATCCCAAGGAAGAAAAACCATTTAAACCTGGACCATTTTAAAAACTTAATGTTTTATGTAATTGTATTTATTTTCACATTTATGTTCTGTTGTATGAAACAGCCCTAAACTCGGAATTCTTTAGACAACAACATACTATGAGTACTGTGAATATTTCTGTGATTAAGCTTATGTATTATGATCAATGTCTATCTCTTTAAGCCACATTTATTTGTAGATATAAATATAGGAACTAAACCAGTCACAGTTTAATTAGCAGTGGTACTGTTGCGGGATTTTGGGATTCTGGTCTCACGGAGTCGAAGAATGAATCTTGAGGCACAAAAGGGTAAAGTCAAGTGAAAGTTTATTAAGTGAAGGTGAGAGCAGAAAGGAAACAGAAAACTCCCTAGAGTGAGAGGGGTCCTGAATGTGTTGTCGCCGTGGGCTTTTGAGAACTGACTGGGAAGCTTGTGGCCTTGACATTCTTCTGCAATCTTGGTTTGTTCCCTTATCTCTTGTTCCTCTCTGTCTTGGCATCTCCACCTGCCAGGAATAGTTCTGGAGCCCAGTTAGGGGAGTCAGGGGCCTCCTGTCTCTCCTGCCTAGACCTCTACCCCTTCCCTATTCTTGGGATGGGACCTGTGGGCAGAAGGAGCTATCCTGGGATTGTGAGGAGTGACTGATTGTATACGTTTTAATTAGTGGGGGTTAGGGGTAGCACAAGTCTCCAAGATCTGGAAGCAAGGCTTTCCGGACCTTGAGTGGCCAGCGGCTGCCAAGATAAATAAAGTTCCATTTAACCATGAAGGCACTAAGGCAGCCCCGGGTTCTTTGAGGAAGGTCACGCTCTACGTATTTCACGTGTCTATCAGTGGGCTGCAAACTGTTAAGGAGATTTTATTTTAAGCTACATTTCTTTTTTTTTTTTTTAAAGATTTTATTTATTTATTTGACAGACGGAGCTCACAGGCAGGCAGAGAGGCAGGCAGAGAGAGAGGAGGAAGCAGGC